TTTGTCTTTTTAATTATTTTAGCTTAATCTACTTTAAGGCAATCCAGTTCCCACTAACTCTCTTTCCCTTACCCTCAAACTTCCACACACCCATATATCCCCACTCCCATTTGTTACACCTTTCCCTAGTTTTGGAAATTTGCCTGTTAGTTCCATTTTTATTCCTTTTATCTAGTTATCTAACTTTTCCACACTTTTTCCTCTCAGTTAAGTAGTCAAGTGAAATCCTCCTTCCTCTCCTCCCCTTCAACTCATTTTGTTTATTAGTTTATTTCATTTCTGCTAACAAAATAGTTTCTTTCCCTCATTCTCTTCATCTCTCTTTTCTGTCTATTTTATCTACTTTTATTTTTCTTTAAAAATTTATTTATTTTTAGTTTTCAGCATTCACTTTTATAAGATTTTGAATTCTAAACTTTTCCCCCTTCCTTCCCTCCCCCTCCCCGAGATAGCATGCAATGTGATAAAGTCTATACACGTACAATGATATTAAACATATTTTCACATTAGTCATGTTGTTGCTAATATTTTATTTAAAATTTTTTGCATCTATATTCATTAGGGAAATTGATCTATAATTTTCTCTCTCTGTTTTGGTTTCCCCCAATTTAGGTATCAGCATCATATTTGTATCATAAAAAAAATTTGGTAGGATTCCTTTGCCTGTTTTTCCAAATCACTTATATAATATTGGAATTAGTTGTTTTTTAAATGTTTGTTAGAATTCACCTGTAAACCCATCTGGCCCTGCAGATTTTTTCTTAGGGAGTTCATTGATGGCTTGTTCAATTTCTTTTTCTGAAATGGGGTTATTTAAGTATTTTATTTCCTCTCTCATTGGGCAAAATAGCTCCTAATTATTGTTTTAATTTCCTCTTCATTAGTGATGAATTCACCTTTTTCATTTTTGATGGTGGTAATTTGGTTTTCTTCTTTCTTTTTAAAAAATCAAATTAACCAATGATTTGTCTATTTTTTTGTTTTTGTTTTTCATAAAACCAGGTCTTTGTTTTATTTAGTAGTTCAATAGTTTTCTTTAATTTTATTAATCTCTCCTTTGATTTTTAGAATTTCTAATTTGATATTTAATTGGGAATTTTTAATTTTTTTCTAACTTTTTTAGTTGCATGCCCAATTAATTGATGTCTTTTTCTATTTTATTCATGTAAGCATTTAGAGATATAAAATTTCCCATAAGAACTGTTTTCACTGCATCTCATAAGTTTATGTATGTTTTCTCATTATTGTCATTCTCTTGGATGAAGTTATTGATTATTTCTATAATTTCTTGTTTGATCCACTCATTCTTTAGGATTATTTAGTTTCCAATTAATTTTTATTAATTGGAAATTGGAAATTAATTAATTTACTATCTTTCCATGGTCTTTTATTACATGCAATTTTTAATTGCATTATGATCTGAAATGGATGCATTTAATATTTCTGTCTTCATTTGATTATGAGATTTTTTATGCCCTAATACACGGTCAATTTTGTATAGTAGTACCACTGAGAAAAAGGTATATTCCTTTCTATCCCCATTCAATTTTCTCCAGAGGTCTACCATATCTAACTTTTCTAAAATTCTGTTCACCTCCTTAACTTCTTTCTTGTTTATTTTGTGGTGTTTATTTAGTTCTGAGAGCATGAGGTTGAGGTCTCCCACTAGTATACTTTCACTGTCTGTTTCTTCCTGTAACTCACTTAACTTCTCCTCTAAGAATTTGGATGCTATACCTCTTGGTCCATATATGTTTAGTAATGATATTACTTCCTTGTCTGTGGTACCTTTTAGTGGGATGTTCCTTATCTCTTTTAATTAGATCTATTTTTGCTTTGTCTGAGATCAAGATTACTACCCCTGCTTTTTTTACTTCAGCTGAAGCATTATATATTCTGCTCTAGCCTTTTACCTTTACTCTGTCTGTAACCCTCGGTGTCAGATGTGTTTCTTGTAAACAACATATTGTAGTATTATGGTTTTTAATCCACTGCTATCCACTACTGTTTTATGGGAGAGTTTATCCTATTCACATTCACAGTTATAATTAGTAACTGTGTCCTTCTCTCCATCCTGTCCTCACTCCTGTTTATATTTTTCTCTCTCCTTTCTCCCTTTCCGTCCTCACTAGTGTTTTGCTTTTGACCACTGCCTCCCTCAGTCCTCCCTTTCTTCCAGCAACCCTCCATCCCTTTTCTTTCTCCTTTCCCCCACTACTTCCCTTCCTTCTGCCCTCCCTTTTATCCACCCCCTTACCTTTTACTTCTTCTTTCCCTTACCATTTCTTATAGGGTAAGATAGATTTCTATAGCTGAGTATGTATGTTATTCACTCTTTAAGCCAAATCCAATGAGAATAAGGTTCAAGCAATGCTTGCTTCCCTCTGTTTTGTTTCTTTGGTGAGACGCTACCATGGATTCAAGTTTTTCTCTTCTGCTAATCATTTCTGCTTTAGATGTGAAAAATTCTGCTTTCACAATTCTTATTTCTCTCCTAAACCATTCAGGAATATCTTATTATGGTTCCATGATCTCTTGAGAATCCACAGAATTCTCTACTTTACCAAGTATTCATTCATTTTCCTTTGATTTGCAATATTTATTTATTCATAGATGATGATTTATTTATATGATCTGGAGGTAATCTTCCTTTCTGTTGTTCATATCATCTCCATTGTTTTATCTGCTTGTGCTTAAGGTCTTTAATCAAGTTTTATTTCCCCTGGTGTCTTCGATAATTTCATTTTTTTATGTTCCTCTGTCTTTTACTTTCTTCCTCGTTCCTCTTTGATGGCATTTTCTCTGAAGATTAGGCCTCATTGGAGTGTTAGCCTCTTCCTACACTGTGCAATTCACATTGTACTAGTCTCAGTCTCTTCCCCAAGTAACTTTTAGGGAAATAAAACTGGCCACAACTAGATGCCAGTCTCCTTTGTTCTAGGCCAGGTGAAGCCATACACATGTTGGCATCCTGCCCCACTTTCCTCTGTTCCTCAATTCCCTTTCTAAGCATTTTTGAGGTACAGAGCTCTGCCATACTGCCTTCTCAGCCAGAGCAGTCTTCTAGCTTTTGAGTTTCCACAGCATCAAAAGAAGGGGGCAGAGTGGAGTTCCGTTTCAAGGCTGTGAATCAACTTGTTCCCTGCCAGAATGTGGTGGCTTAGGGGGTAAGGATCAGTGGTTAGGGATTAGGCTTCTCTGCTGTTAACCCATCAGGTTGTTGCTTCATTAGATTTCTTAGTGCCTTAGAATATGAAAATTGCTGGAATTACTTTATATCTTATATATAATGCCTGTTTTGGAAAAGTTTGAGAAGTAATGAGTATTGGGAAACGTGTACAATCCTCCATTTTGTTGGTCAATAGTCTTTCTTTTTGCTTGTGTTTGTGTTCTAGTGCTTATTACAGTATCTAAATGCTTGTGGACTTGACTTGAATTTTTTTACAGTCAGTTGTTTGTTGGGTGAAACAGCATCACCACAACCAGGAGAAGGGGTGAAATTCCTCAAAGAGATGGGTTTAGTAGACTGGTTTTTGCTAGCAGGGTCAAATGGAAACCTTTGGAGTTGCCTGAGACATCCTGTATAATTAAAACTAAAGAATACCAGATCTCAGGAGTGAAAGTTCATTTCAAGTGATGGAGATGAAAGAGCTGTTCCAGATCTCCTGACAGTAACCCTTTATGTGTAATGAGGAAGGTAGCTGGCACCTGACAACTGACATTGAAGGGAGCTGAACAAAGTTGTCATGCCAATATCTAAGGCAATTCTTGTCCTCATCTATGGTTTAGACCAGATACTCCAGACCTCTAGTGAGTGATTTGGGGTTGTTGACTTCATTAGTGCCTTTTTCTCTATTACTGTGACAGATTAATTAGTAGTAGTTTGCTTTCACCTAGAAAGGATCCCAGTATACCTTCACTATTCTTCCTCAGGGCTCTCAGAACTTTCCTTCATACAGTCAAAACTGATGGGCAGAAACCTAAAAGAGACCCCAATTCTTGAAGGCATTTGTGTCCCCTACTATACTGATGGCATAATGTTAAGGCTACAGTGGCAGAGAGTATAGGTTGGTTACTGGCCAACATGAAGGACTAAAATAATCCAGGATTTAGCCCATACATTTAAAATTTGAGTACAGTAGATAAAGAGAACCCAGATGATTGTGGACATAGTCCAGAACAATCTACTGACACATCCACACTGTTCAGAAATGAAACCTAAAGGCTTATTAGACTTTGTTTTAGAGAAACCACATTCCTCTTCTGTTTCCTCATGACACCCATTACCAAGTCTTTTACAAGTCTGCATGTTCTGAGTCGGGCGTATGACAGAATATAGACTGGGAAGACCTAAAGAAGGCCATCCAACTGCCTGTACTTATTGACCCTTGTGATGTCATGAAGCCCATGTTTTTGGAGGTCTCTGTCCATCAATACCAACTAAGTGGAGATTTTGGTAGGTACTTAATGGAAGCCAGACCAAATGACCACTAGATTTCTGGGGATACAGCCTTCCTGAAGCAACCATTCACTATACAACTTTTAAAAAGTGTATGAAATTCTCATTCATTATTGAGTCCTAGTTGCTATTGAACAAATGACACAGAGTCATGCTATCACTCTTCATCCCATGTTGCCTTTTAGGAACTGGTTGGTGCAGTGTGGGGAGGGCAGAAGAGGCCTCTATTGTGAAATGGAAATGATACATTTGAGGTCCTACTTACTTAGGTCCTTCATGTATTAATGCCCTTCACAAACAGACTGTGCCTGCAAGAATTCAAGGCCTCTAGCCTCAGCTCCAACATTCTGACTCCTCCATTAGCCCAGTGGACCCTACTTGGTTGCTGAGGAATGCCATTTTGACTGGTTCACCAATGGCTTCTGTAACAAAAACAGAATAGTTAATTTTTCCACAAAACTGCATAGTATGAAACTCAAGAAAAGTTACGTTGGACTTACAATATTAAAATGATTCAATTCAGTTCCTCTTTACCTTTCAGATTCCTTACATATTCCTACCTTCTGGCTTTCAACACCTGGTTACTGCTGGCACCAATTACTTTATGCTATGACTGGCAGGTTGGAAGTATTCCTCTGATAGAGACCATATGGGATGTACGGAATTTGGCCACCCTTCTCCTGGTTGTGGTGATGCTGTTTCTGATTCTACATTGCTTAACAGCATTTAAGGTAATTTTTTCAAAACTTAAGCATATATTTTACGGGATGAATTTCAAGGTGGATGTTTATGTTAAATAACATGTTTGGGGTAAGGGTAGGGATCCTTTTTCTGAGGTTACATTGCTCTTTATTCTGTGGAGCTTTTTTTTCCCTTTTTTAAATTTTATTTTTAACATATGTTTTTAAAACTTTGGGTTACAAATTTTTTCCCTTCCTCCTTCCCCACCCACCTCTGTGGAGTTTTTTAGTCTTTATAGTAGCTTACACATTTTAAAAGCCCTCTTCCCAGAAATTAGAACTTAATAATTTTAATAATTTATATAGATTATAGTTGCATTAGCCACATCACTGGCATAATTTTTTTAAAAGAATTATTGTTGTTAAAAAAAAAACACTTCACTGTCATTTCGGAATAACACCCAATAAAATCTTTCCTTGTAACTAAAAAAAATAATTACATAAAGCAAACTGTCACATTGGCCATGTCTGCCAGTGTATATGGTATTCTATGCCTGTAGTCTAATACCTTTGGAGAAGGAAGGCATGTTTTATTAGTCTTCTGGAATCAAGATTGATCATTACATTAGTTGGAATCCTGATATCTGTTACCATTGTTAGTTAGTGATAATTTGAGTCCCTGGGGGCATTAAAAAAAAGGGAATTGATTAAATTTTCCTGATTCTTCTTCCCTGTCAATAAACAGCACATGCTTTCTAAATGAGTGATTTTGTGGTGAGTTTTCTTCTGAGAGGAAAAACATTATGTCCAATGAAGTTTACTATAGCAAAGGATATTCTGTGCAGCCAGCAGAAGTCTGAAGAGGGTTGAAGATGAAGGTCATATGCATTTTAATTTGGGAGTTATTTGGGTAGTACAGAGACCTGCAGTCTCAAATCAACTCATGCCTGAGTGGCGATTTCACACGTGGTTAGTGGGGATTGCAATACTACCAATGATTCATTAATATTTTCTTTTTAATATAGAAAATATCTTATTTCAGATGTGTCAGTGATATTTCATTTCTTCGGTTCCTAGAGCAGTGATAGGCTAAAAGACATGGCAAACATAGTATTAGATTGCCACTCTTTTTGATTTTAGTTAACACTAAACAAGAGGATGTAGAAATATATTATCTATAGTCCCAGGAACTATGGTACAACAAATGATTCCTCTGTTTTGGTTGAGATGAGCATTATCAATGAAACTGTAAGTTCTGGAAAAAGGTAAAGGCATTCTTAGTGGTGTAAAGATGAAAAGTAAAGCAATATACTATAGGTAAAAGAAAGTCACCTATCGCAAGTTCTTTTTGTTTAAATAACTTGATGACTGCAAAGGGAAATGGCCTTGAATTATATTGTTGGGTGAAAAGACAAGAAGTTTTTTGTTCAAGGAGTTTATAGCTTTTCCTAGATATATTTTAAACAACATCACTTCTTTCTCGTAATTAATATAATATTTACTGTTACAAAAATCCTGAATAAGAAACATATTCTTATACACATCAAAAAAGAGATTATAGCAAATATGGAATTATAGAGTACATTATGTCAGTCACATTTCAGTTGGTCATAATTCATTCCATTTTCTTTTATGTTATTGGGGTTATTTTCTGTATTATTCTCTCAAGTCTTCTTTCTTCGCTCTGTATCAGTTCACATAAATCTTCTCAAGTTTCTTTTATTTTTTTATCACTATTAAGTTTTTCACATACTAGTTTCTACCTCTATCAGGAAAATTTCATCTGAAGTCTGATCTTTGCAAATATGAATTTTATAGCTAAGAATGGTAATGCAAATTTATAATCTCTGCTATGACGGAGGCTGAGGCTGGTAGATTGTTTGAGTTCAGGAGTTTAGAGCTTCAGTGCGTTAACCTGATCTGCTGTCTGCTCCAGTATGGGGAGCCCCAGGGAGCAGGAAGCCACCAGACTTCCTCAGAAGGGGTGAACCAATCCAAGATAGAAATGGAGTAAGTAAAACTCTGGTGATCAACATGGGTCAAATTCATGAGTCACTGTTGCACTTTCTGGCTAGGTGATACAGGGAGACCCAGTCTGAAAAAAAAATGTTACATTAGGATCATAGATCTAGAACTAGAACATTATCTATCCCAAAGGTAATCTAGTCCAACTTCCTCATTTTATAATGAGAAAATTGACATGTCAGGGGGAAGTGTGGTGATGAAGTCAAGATTGCAGAGAAAAGGCAGGGCCTTATCTAACCTCTCCTAATTTCCCCTCCAAACAACTTTAAATAATGCCTCAAAACAAATTCTGGAGTGGAAGAACCCACAAAAAGAAGTAATAAAATAGTTTTCCAGCCCAAGATAACTTAGAAAGTCAACAGGAAAGTTTTATCACACCAGGGTGGAATAGAGCTCAGTCCAGTGCAGGCAACGCCCTGGCAAGATAGCAGCAGGTCATGCCTCAGCAAGCCAGCAGCAGATGTTGGGTGCTCTTGAACAGGCAGTAGTGGTTTCTGGAGCTCTCAGCCCACTGATGATAAGGGGTTAGACAACTGGTCAAAAGGAGATCACAGGAGTCCCTTTGCTGGCACTGGATTCAGGACTCTGTTGAATTGCCCATGCATGGATCCAGGTTGCAGTCTCAGGATGAGGAGGAGCAGTAGCACACCAGAGCTTGCAGCTGCAGGAGAGTAGAGACCCCAGTCACAGTTCCAGGGTGGAAAAGAGTGCTTGTGGTCACTTAGAGATCAGAGCACAGAGTAGTAAACACACTTCTCCTTAGATTATACCACTTTGGCAGAACTGAAAACTTACAGACCCCCAGAACTATCTCTGAAAAAAAGCAGCACAAAAAACCTGAAGTTTAAGATGGTGTCCCCTCCACCCCAGGAGCAGAGCCCAACTTTAACATATAAAGTTAAAAGTCAAGGAATAGACTAAAAAATGATCAAACAACAATATAAATAACTTGACCGTAGAAAGTTATTATGGTAACAGGGAAGATCAAAACACAAACTCAGAAGAAGAAAACAAAGTCAAAACTGCTACATCTAGAGCCTCAAAGAAAAATGTAAATTGATCTCAAGCCCAAAAAGAATACCTGAAAGAGCACCAAAAGCATTTTAAAAATCAAATAAGAGAGGTAGAGGCAAATTTAGGAAAAGAAATGAGAGTGATCCAAGAATATCTTGAAAAAAGGGTCAACAACTTAGTAAAGGAGGCACAAAAAAAATACTGAAGAAAATGATACCTTAAGGAACAGAATAGATCAATTTTTTTTAAAAAGTACAAAAATCCACTGATGAAAACAACTCCTTAAAAAGCAGAATTGGCAAAATGAAAAAGGAAGTACAGCAGCTCACTGAAGATAAGAATTCCTTAAAAATTAGTATTGGATAAGTTGAAGCTAATGACTCCATGAGGCATCAAGAAAGAACAAAACAAAATTTTAAAAATGGAAAAATAGCAGAAAATGTGAAATATTTCATCGGAAAAAAAACAACTGACCTCGAAAATAGATCAGGAAGAGATAATTTAAGACTTATTAGACTATGTGAAAGCCATGATAAAAAAAGGAGCCTAGACCTTATCTTTCAAGAAATTATCAAGCAAAACTGTCTGCATAGTCTAGAACTAGAGGGTAAAATAGAAATTGAAAGAATCCACTTAAGAGATCTCAAAATGAAAATTCCCAGTCATATTATACCCAAATTCCACAGTTCCCAGGTGAAGGAGAAAATATTGCAATTAGCCAGAAAAACAATTCAAATATCATGGAGCCAAAGTCAGGATAACACAAAATTTAGCAGCTTCTACCTTAAAGAATTGGAGGACTTGGATGTGATATTCCAGAGGGCAAAGAAGCTAGGATTACAACCAAGAATTACCTATCCAGTAAAACTGAGAGAATCATCTGCCCAGTAAAATACCTCAGGGGAAAAAATGGATATTCAATGGAATTGAGGACTTCCAAGCATTCCTGATGAAAAAACCAGAGCTGAATAGAAATTTTGACTTTCAAATACAGGACTCCAGAGAAACATATAAAGGTAAGAAGGAAAGAGCAATCATAAGGGATTCAGTAAGGTCAAACTGTTTACATTCCTACACGGAAAGATGTTTATGACTCCTAAGAACTCTATCATTTTTCTTGTTTTTTTTTTTGTGTTTTTTATTCACAACATGACTACTATAGAAATGTTTTGCCTGACTGCACATGTGTAACTTTTATCAAATTGCTTGCCTTCTCAATGAAGGGAGAGTGAAGGGATAGTGGGAGAAAATTTGGAACTCAAAATTTAACAAAACAAATGTCAAACATAGTTTTTTACATGGAATTGGGAAAAATAAAATATTAAATAAATATTTAAAAAAAGGAAAAAGAGAAAATTGAAGTAGTTATGGGACTTACCCAGTGTCATACAAGAAGTAAATATCAGAAGCAGAATTTGAATTCTGGTCATCTGATTGATGACTCAAAGGTCATTTCACTATAGTACCATGGTACCTTACTTGATGAGGATGGCTAATCCATTTAGTTAGTATACTATTTGTTTCAAATATAGAGAAGTATAAATGTGACAATGCATTGAATCTTAAAAAACTATACAAATATAAGTGTTGCATCCCTTTTCTGAGCTCTCCCTCAACTTACACTGGTAGGTTGGGTTCCCTGGGGGATGACTACCCCAAATTCAAAGTACTCCGTGGATCCATATTCCTAAAACTATGTAGCTCTCAAGCTCCATATCAGTGCATTTTCCTTTAACATTTAAACATTGAAAGCAAAGCGTTATACTAAAATGATAAGAACAATAGGTACACAACATTCCCCCATTGGTGTTGGAGAAAGTACATTCTCTCACAAATATATGCAGCATCAGTGGGAATAATGGGCATGTACATAGAGTATACCAGTAGAGAAAAACACACTGAGAGAACACATATGGCCAACGCAGCTGTTGCCTCTGATGCTGTAGGGTTCCAAGGTCTTCTATTTCTGGTGATATCTTCATACTGTTCCCTGCAAGGTATGGTGTCTGTGT